TTGTGACACGCGTTGCTCGCTTAGCGATTACCCGAGCCGATTTGGCACCGATGGATTATGGCATGACAAACGTTCAAGATGTGCTGCCATATATACACGGTGAATACAACGTTCTTCCGTGTCCTGACATCCATCAGAAGTGAATCTTGTGAATTAGATTCGTTTTCCATAGTAGCCTTGGCGATTGGTTTCATATGCACCAGACGGTAGCACGATGTATGTTGTTGCATGCAGCACGAGGCCGGGCCGGGCCTGCAGTTTTAAAGTCGAATTGTATCAATATGTATAGGTTCAGCAAACACACTCCGACTGCATATGGACCTTTTTGGATCAAGTTCAAGGGTCAAGGGTTATCAGGACCATCGATCCGATCGACAGCTTCATCCCGCCAACCGAAAACTAAGATTGAGACCAAAGATATGTTAATGTGCAATGTGGTACGTATCGGCCTCTTTGCGATAATTTCGCACCGTGACATCTGCAGCCTACGTTCTGCATGCGTGTGCGCCAATACTAACAATCATATACATGTACATGCACATGTCTAGCCCTGCACCCGTGTACACAGAGCGACATGAGGTCGACGTACCACCGTCCGGGGCCAGCTATCGCGCCGCGAGTTATAGTTTGCATGGGATCGGCTGGGTCGAAGTTATGTTAGGGCTAGTACTAGCTAGCTGAACGTGAGCTCGGGCTATGATGAATGACAGCAGTATGCACTGTGCATTGACCCCCACAAGAACTGTTGCGGCTAGAATCCTTTTGGCAACATGGCATGCTGCCACTGTGAAAACAGATGAACTTCGAAACAATCTGTGCAATGGCCATGACGAGAAGCCTGTGCATTGTTGTACACTGCATGTGTTTCTTCTCGAAGTGCCTATCCATGATATCATGCTCAAGCGACAGTTGCATGGAACAAACCACTCGAGAAGCCTGTGCATTGTTGTATACTGCATGTGTTTCTTCTCGAAGTGCCTATCCATGATATTGCTCAAGCGACACTTGCATGGAACAAACCACCACCGGAGGTGGTCCACAGCCTAGTCATTGTTCTTCAAGTGTAGATGTGTCACGAGCCAACTCAGGCCCCCCTTGCCATTATGCAAGCTGATTGATAAAGGTTAATTTCGATGTAGGTGTTGAAAAGCATGTGAGTAGAAGACAAACGGCGTCTGGACGAACGATGGGCATGCCTTGACAGAGGCCGTCGTTGCACAGCTTCTTGATCATAGTACACTGTTTATATGCAGGGCCTTGAGGAGACTCGAAGCCATTTGCTTCACCAACACCATCTCCCCGTCCCTGTCCCCTTCCACCAACCGTTGCAACTTCCGAGGCAGATCGTGCTCAACAGTAAACTGCTTCGGCCTTGGATGGTGCTCGTACACAGCCTGCAGAAGAGTGAGGCTAGGGTAAGCAAGCTCTGATCAGAGCGCTCGAATAATGTCCACACCGCTTCTGCAACAATCGGCCCTTTTCCAATTCGGACAGAAGCCGAACTTTCTCTCTGTATCTAAAGAGGCGAACTCAGTCACGAGTCGGCTAACCCGCCAACCATCTCTGATAGTGCGGGAACGCTGGAGTACGAGCTACGAGCAGTTTCGCTTACCTTGATGATTTTCAAGAGGGTTAGCTTGGCCACAGCGTCTCCGTGCTCCAGCCGGGAAACAAGGAGGGCCGTCAGTCCGGACAGTGCCAAGGCAGTGTTAAGCTTCGGCGATTTTCTGCAGGATCCGCAACACAAAAGGCTTCAGCAGTGATGAAAGACCAGGAAAGTGCTTGAGCTTCCGCAGCAAGCCGGAGGGACAGCTTCACGGAACCCAAAATTTACGAGACGGAAGCTGGCAATGAGATCAGACTCTCTTCAATTATCCCTTGGAAGCGGCCGCTGGTCCATGGCACCTATAACGGTCAAGGGTCCAGCCTTAGGAATGTGAGCAGGCTACCATGCACAGCATAAAAGGTAAATCGACTTGAATGAGAGAAATCTGAGCAGACTGGGGGCCAAAACGTTCAGAAAAGGCATGCTTACGTGACGATCTTGAGGAAGGGCTCGAGGATGTTCCGGAAGGTGGGGCCGCTTGCCACACCGAAGAAGTCTACCAGCTTTTGGACATTCGCCTTCTGCACAAGCGGAAGGGACAATCTTTTCAGGTTGCTTGTCAGGTTCGTTCCTCCTTACAAAGAAAGTCCCGCAAACTCCAGCCGCACAAGATGAGATGCTACAAGCGCAGCGAGGATGGTGCAGAATCCTTTTTGGAGGGCGGAAATCAGGAGCAGCCGGAAAACCGCAAGCAGACGTCCAATGTCCAAGAGCCGAGAGTCTTCTGCATTCCACTCTTGTAAGATCCATCCGTCCTACAGCCCTTTCGAGGATTTCTCCGCCAGAACCCGTAAACCATTCATAACCAACCCATAAGCCACCGGCAACCAACCCACCTCCAGAAGCGCGGGCTCCACTTTCCGCTGCTCGTGGTCGTGCGCGAGCCACATCGCAATCGAGTCGAGCGCCGCGACCTGCCACTCCTCGTCCTTCAGCAGGTCCAGGTAGAACTCGAGGCCCTTGTTCTTCCAGAGCTCCGCACGCGTGCGCCGGGACGCATGCGCCATGTCGCACACGAGGGGCAGAGCGTATTGTTTCAGGGGGGAGCCGTTCCGGATGAGAGCCAGCAGGGGGGGGATGATGCCCGCGACCGCGGCTTGCTCCTGCCGCGTCTTGTTGATTTTACACAGGTTGTACAGCGCGCTCAGGACCTGCGGGTTCGTAAGGAGAAAAGGTTTGGTTCTGCATTCCTTTGATCACTCGAGCCCTGCGCAAGAAGCTGCTTGTTGAGCGTGCTGACGCCCGGAGAAGAAGTGGACCAGAGCGGCTTCTTAAGAAGCCCGGTCACTAAAAACCAGGCTTTAATCTTAAGTATAAAAGGAAACGAGGTGCGACACGCCCAGGATCAAGGGCTCGCCATAGGCAGTGTCGAAAGCTTCTTCTTCGCACCGATAGGCAATGTCGAACGCTCTTCAGCCTCTTCCAAGCACTTCCAAACACTTCAGGATTGAGCACTACACGATCTTAGTCTGGTTGCCAGTAAAACGTCCGAAGAGCGTACCTGGTTCTGCATGTCCGCCAGAAAGGGCCCTTCCTTGCGCGCAAGGATCGGAACTAGACAGGGGATAGCGCCCGCTCGCTGCAGGGGCTCCAGCGTGTTGGCGTCCTCCGACAGGTTCTTGATGCACCGGAGCATCTGGAGCAAGGGAAAGGACTTTGATTTGACATTTGAGGTACGGAAAGTAATATTACGGGCCTAGACAGCGGGTACCAGTCCTTGCACAAATCGCCAATCCTGCTCAGGAACAGAGTCTCAGCACAAGACAAACGGCTTTCCGGAGACACAATCTGTTCCTCGAAGTATGACGCATTGAGTCATCGCCTCACGCATCACAGCACTATCTTTACGGCACTCCATCGTCCGCCCTCACCTTGACCAGGATTGGCTGCTCCAGCCGCTCCATCATCTTGAACAGACGGTGCAGCAGCTGCAGGCTGCACATGAAGCCCTTGACCAGCGAGTCCGCGTGCGAGAACACCAGCAGCAGGTTCGCCAGCTTCGCCACGTACCCCCGCGCCGTCTCCGCGGCCGCCCACGCCTCCGCGGGGTTCGGCGTGACCCCGTACGGTTTCTCGACCTGCGCCGAGCCCCCGCTCCCGCGGCCCCCCTTCCCGAACGAGCTCGTCGACCGGTGGTGCCCGCCCCCCGGCATGCTGCTCGCGCTGCTAGTTGCGGAGTGGCCGGCGCCCAGCAGGGGTGCGCGGCTGGCAGTCGAGCCGTTAGGTGACGGGAACCCCCCCCCCCGGAGGTCGGCGCCTTCCAGGCGCCCCAGCCCGCTGCGACTGAGCTCGAACCCGTCCAGTCGGTGGAACGGCCCGGCGGAGTCCCCGCTCAGGTTGCGTGCGTGCACGCTGGCGCGCTCCCGAGGGGAGAGGCCTACTGACGTCTTTACACGTTGCGCCTCGTCGTTGGTGCTGGAGAGCGCGGAGACGAGGCGGTCGAGGGCGCCGCACTTGGCGAAGAGGCGGCAGAAGTCGTTCTTGGGGGTGGGGCTCTTGAGCTCAAACACCTGCAATGGAGCCGGGTGAATATCAATCGGCCCTCTTGCAACGATCTGCAAGTGGAGGGGCTTAAGCACGAACCATGCTGATCCGTTGACGCTCGTTCAGACAGCGCCTATCCGTCGGCGCTCGTTTAGACTGGATCTCGCACAACAAGGAAAGAGGTCGATATACTTGATGATCCGTAAAAGCTCCGCCAATGGTTAAGCAACACAGGCGAGCATATCGGGCACTTGCCTAATCGCAGCTATACTGCAAACAATGCACGTACGGCTTCCGAACCGGAGGGACTTCTTTCAGCAGTCTACGACAGCATATCCACTCACCTTGCAGATGCCGTCGATTGCCATGAAGACAATCTCCTTGTTGTCGTTGTAGTCTCCCTCCAGAAACGCGACGAGCACCGGCAGGCCCCCGCACGCGACCAGCATCTGTAACGTCATTCCGCCCGCATGCGTCACCTCCCTCACGAACAGCACCGCCTGCATCCGGATTAGCCGGGGTGCCTCCGGGACCGAGAACCGCAGCACGAGCGGCACGGCCCCCACCAGGCACAGCTGCTCTAGATACTCCGAGTTCCCCTCGATCAGCTGGTTCAGCACGTACAGCACCGCGTACACCGCCTGGGTGCTTGACACTTCCAGCATCTCCATGACTGGCGTCACCCCATACTGCCCGATCAGCTGTGTCTTCTGCTCCGGGTACTCCCGGAAGAGGATGCACAGCCGGTCGGCCGCCTGCAGGATAGCGTCCTCCTTCCGGTCCGGTTTCAACACCCCCAGCAGTTTCGTCATCTCGGCGACCTGCTTCGGGTAATTTTCCCGCCCCTCTAGTTTCCCCCCCAGCCCCTCGATCTCGTCCACTTGCGTAGCCCCCTCGTCCTCCGCTTCGAGGTCCCCTTCTTGAGACAGCCGCCGCCCCTCGATAACCGCTGCAATCTCCCGCTCTTCCTTCCGATTGGCCGCCCGCGGCTGCCCTCGCCTCCGTGGCGACGTAACCTGCAGCCCCGACGTCGACGGCCGATCGTCTGGGTGCTGCGCAAGCCCCCGAGCGCTTCTACCGCCCTGATCCCCCCACCCGTCCATCTCGATCTCACCCCCGGGGATGGACTCCCCCGGGGTCAACGGCCGCGGCGAGTCAAACACGCTTCCCACGATCTCGCTCGGCTTCGGGGGCCGCCCGAGATCCCCGGAAGTCAAAAGACCCCGGTCGAGGCTCTGCCTACTGATCCTAATCGGCTTGTTCTTTTCCACCGCCGCGGCGCTCCCTGAAGGGGACGACATCGACGGGCTGTGAGGCGGGCGCTCGTCCTCCGACTCGGACTCGAACGGGTCCCGGACGAGCGGATCGTTTTCGAGGTCCAGCGGCGGTGCTGACGTTACCTCATGTCCGTCCTGCTCGATCGAGCGCACGACGACCGCGGCCACGTCCTGGCTGATGCTGCTGATCTTGCCAGCGCTGTCCTTCCACGAGCTCTGCATCTGCCGACGCGAGTTGCGGATCCACTGGTGCTTCAGAAGCTGCTTGGCATCGGGGCGCAGCTTCGGATCCTGCAGGGGGCAGACGAAAGTAGGGCAGGTGAGCGATAAGTCTTAAGTCCGCTGCAGGAGAGCGGCTTTGGCAAGGGGACACTCTTTGTCTGCTAGATCCCTTGCAACTACAAGCGGCCATCTGTTCTCCGTGTTGGGATATCAGCAATAGAACGTTCAAGCCGGCCAGCTTCTCCGACATCCTGGTCAGTCTGATTAGCAGTAAGCCACCATGTTCCCCAGTGTTGTCATCCTTGGATATCCTTGCTCCAGCCACCGACCATCAGAAGTTACAGACTCTGAGTTCATCAATGTTGATCTCACCTTCTGAAAGCAGAGTGTGAGGAAATCGACCAGCAGAGCCGAGAGGCCGTCTGGAAACGGGGGCCGGTCGTCTTGGACGATGCGGAAGAGTGCGGGCATGGGCTGGAGGTCGTAGTAGGGGGGCGAGCAGGTCATGAGCTCGATGACAGTGCACCCGACGCTCCAGATGTCGGAGGACGCAGTTACGCCCGACATTTCAATCACCTGCATCCAGTTTAGAGGGTCGGCAAACCAGTAGCATTGGTTCTTACTGACCAAAGCTATGATACGGGTTTTGAGTGTCAAACAAAAAGATGCCTCAGCTTGACGGCGAACAAAGAGTCGGTTTCCTGGAGACTTGCGGCACCAAAACCTCCACACACGGCCATGCAACTATTGGTGCTTTCGAAGTCAGAACATAGGCTAAGTTGGAGGGGAAATAATTGGGCAGGCCCATTGCACCTCTTGTCTCTTCTTACAATCACCAGTAAGCTCCTAAACTGCTTATGCAAGCACAAGCGAGAACAAAATTTGAGGTCGGGTCTTAAGCCAAGCCTACCTCTGGTGCCATCCAGTAGGGTGTGCCCACAACCGACCGTGTGTCCGCGTCTGCCTCATTCAGCTTGGTCGCAACACCAAAGTCGGCCAGCTTTACCAAGCCCTGCAGACATCTCAGCCTGTCAGTGACACATTGAACCTTCCTTAAAGAGAAGACTTGCTTGTGCACTTGTATACAATGATGCGATGATGAGCACTAGGGTAAGAAGGATAATGAACAGATTGTTCTGCTGTCGTCCGCTCAGCATCGACAACGTAAGTGCACAGAAAATCAATCAGGTAGCCAGTCGAACAACCAAAGACGAATAAATTACCTCCTTGGTTGTCAAGATATTGGCCCCTTTGATGTCTCGATGGATGACTCCCTGCTCGTGGAGGTAAACAAGCCCTTCCAAGACTTGCGCAATGTATACAGCCGTAAGGGACTCTGGAAACGCCCCAAACTTGTTCGGTTTGATGATGCTGGCGAGGGCGCCATTCTCAACATACCTGCATCAGAGCATGTGTTGATCTGGCACTCCTCTTTGATCAGAGTAATAGAAACACGAGTCCCGCAAGCTTTCAGATGTCAAGCAATCTCGAACAAACACCCTCGTTCCACTACTTGGCAAGCCTGCCAAAAAGCAATCTCCGAGAGCAATCAGCAAAACACTTACTCGAGAATGATGTACAGATGCGATTTCGTCTTGAACGATCCCCGGTACTTCACGATGTTCTTGTGGTTCAAGTTCTGCACAAGCAAAGATGAAATCGTCATCTGCACTAATGAGACTTAAGGGAATTGAACGTGCTGCATAAGGGGGAAATATCGTGAACCGCTCAAAAACTCCATGCTGATCTCAAGTGCATCATAGTTTGCCACCCTGAGATGGAAAGCTTCGCGATCTGTGCGAGGGGCCTATTACACTTGGGCATGATCAGGCTCACCTTGAGTAGGTCGATCTCCAGCTGCACGCAGACAAGGTTCGATCATGTGAATTGGTGTTCATGATCGATTGAAACCGAACAAATGCTTGCGCGTCATATGATGTTAACAAACTTTTATCCTCTGATCAGAATGATACCAGCATCCATCAATGAGGAGTGGCAAAATCAACAGCCTGCAATGATGGAACTGCAATGTATGGAGCATTAGGAGCCTTGCAATCTCACCATGATGCTGTGGAGATCTTCCGTAAGAATGTTTTCTAAGGAGACCTGCTTGATGGCGACAAAGTCGCCATTCTGCAAGTCAACGCCCTTGTAGACGCGGCCATAAGCACCTTTTCCAATCTCGTCCCCAAGGAGCTGCACTCAGTGAGCAAAGACATCTTCGATTCTTGAAGTCAAAAGGTGACCTTCCTCAGGCATGTCACATGCGGATGTCGGTCCAAAGATTAACCTCACGTCCTGACGCCAGAATGATGAGCCATCTCGGATGCACTATGCATAATTGCAGCACATGAATACTTCTTTAAAATAATGGGACGGTCAGCGCACTGAAGAAAGGACTCACATATTTGTCGTTCAAAGTTTTGGACTTGTGGAATAGTCCCCCAGCAATTGGCCTCGCCATAGCGGAAGCGGGCCAAAATACACGCAGTGACCCTCTGCTTTCAGAAACTTTTCATGCCAAAGATAGGTAAAGTGGAAGATTTGGGGAGCTTGCGCAAAAGCTAACAGCAAGATGAAATTGAATTTCTATGGGCAACATCTAATTTAAACGCGCGCTCAGATACTCCAAAGTTGCCTCATGTGCCCTGAGCTTTTGAGAACTATCCAAAGCAGACTCTTCCAGGGTTCTTCAGACTACCAAACAGCGCTTGCACTATGTCTTTGATAATGCGCCGCCCGAGCTCCTATTTGCGGAACACAGCACATTGAGCCAACGTGCAGGACGATGCACATGTTCGCATTCTTTGATCACCGGCACATGGGAGTTGGCCCAGCTTGCAGTACTAGGCACTCGTGCAGCTACCCTGGCAGACCTGACAGACGAATTCAGCTGCTCCTTCTTTGGTCCCCTCAGCCTGCTTCAGCCCCGTGGCAGATTTAATTGCTGCAATCTGACCACCGGCTGGCCAAACTAGGATGAGAAACAAAACCAGGAACATCCGCCACGCTCCGCGTCTTCAGCCGCGGACTCAGAGAGCAGCCGCCGCCTGCACACCATTGGGAGAGCGATACCAGAAAGGATACCAGGATACCAGGAAGGAGGCGGGCCAATGGCTTCCATGCCCTCGTCCATGTAAAATGCGTTGATTTTCAGAGGCAAGCCCCGGCGCCCTTTCACAGGGCGACCCCACTTGTTGATGTCAGTAGTGTTGCTGAGTCAAGTGAAGCAGCTCTGACTCTGAGTACGTCTAGACTTTAGGTAACGCCCTTTCCAACAATCAGCGCAACACGCTAGCAGCAGACAAGTTCCCGGACAGCGATGGCAACAGGGTGGGAAGATGCAGAGGACATCTGGCTGGAGGACCCGAGCTTTGAGTGGGGGAGTCTAGCCCCAACAGGATGGGGCGGCGAAGATGCATCGTCTGCAAGCGGCAGCGGTGCAGGGTTGGAAACGGCCCGAGCCTGATTGGTGCAGGCACCTCAGAAGCAACGCTTGGCGGGCTCTCGGATAGCAGGGTGGACACTGCAAGTGTGGTCACCACTACCGACCAGTAAGAATGTCCTCACTTCTCTATTTGGGCAAGGTGGCTCACTAAAGTATGAGACCAGCGTTCACTCTAAAAGAATCTCGTCTGCCGGGAGGACCTGAGAGTTGATTGAAACTGGTACGGTCCTGGCTACGAAAGACGAAGGCTGGTAACATTGCATGCTAGAGCAACCGTGTTCTTGCCGCCACGTGACGAAGAGCGTGAGGAGGCCACCATTCTGGCCTGAATTCTTTTGATTCCTGTGCAGATGCGTCAAGATCTAGAAACCCTTTCTTTGAGAAACTTGAAAAGTTGGTTCATCTGTACATGATTGCTAGAGGGAGAGGGTAGAGGTTTCTGAGGTGGCTAGATTTGTTTATGGAGTGTCCTTGTTGAGAACGCTTGACTGCCCATCCCCAAGTTTGCGGACGTTGGTATGGCTTGCTCCACCTCATCTTTCACCCGTCCAGAATGTTGCTTCAGCTGGCAAGGCACACTGTCTATGCATAGCGTATCTTTGTACACACTGCATGGAAGGCTTGCATGAGCACGACCAGTGTCTTGCCAACCCCTTTCTGGGTGGTACAACTTTCCATGCGTTGTTTTGTTCAATACTCGACGTATTTATCCCGCAGGCCATTTCCTCTGCAAGGCAATGCTGCTGGCATAAGAAGCGGCGCCCCCTCTCCAGTGAGTACTTTCCCAAGCATTTTGGCTGCACTCACTGGCTTTTTGTATATGGCTGTACTTTGATCCAGAGGGTTGCCAATCTGAAGTTCCTCGATATCAGTGCCCTTCTTGCCCACGTTTCTGTGGTTGGTCCATTGCCTCGTCTGACTTGGTGATTAACCTGCAGAAAGAGCCTGGGTTGCACGAGCGCGTGTCCCCCACGGCAGCCCCTCAAGTCCGACCTTCCTCGCCGCCGACTGCCACTCAGCCCCCCTCCACCAGCCGCAGCAGGTAACCACTTGCTTTGGCTGGACAAAGCATTAGTCTTCCTAACCTCCTAACGGTGTCAGTCATATCATGGCGTCTGCGCACGAAAGCGTCTTCACGCACTCTGGAATTGGCTGCAGTCTTTCTTCTTGATTCCCTGATGCCAATGATCCCAGTCGATTTCCAGGGCGTTGTGCAACGGTCAACAACGTCACAGATGGCCTTTTCTTGTCTTGACTACTTGGAAACCGTTGTAAAGTGCTGAGTGGAGCACCATTAACTTCGTGCACTCCTACTGCTCTCTATAGGGACTCCTGATGCAACCCCCTCTTCCGTTGCGCAGGTTCGCGGCGTTCAACAACGCCCTGGAAGGTGCACAACAGCAGATCGAGGAGAAGGTCAGGAGGGGAGAGCCACTCGAGGAGCCCATCCGCACGGGCCTCACTGGCGTCGGGGACGAGGACTTTGTGCGCTGGCGAAAGCGCCTCGAGACAGAGTACCTCCTGTGGCTCCACGAGGGCGAAGTCCTGCTGGTGGGGCGGAGACATCCCGGGCAGCAACAGCCTGCGAAAGTGGTGGTGGACCACCTGAAGGACGAACTGTTCGTCGGTAAGCACTCACGAATGAGGATCAAGCGTGCTTCCTTGGTTGAGCGCGGCATCCCATGGAAGAAAGTAGGGACACAAGTGAGCACTGGGGTCATTTGCGCAGCGGCAGACAAGCTATCCGTAGCTTCCGTTGTCATGAGATTGGATGCACTGCATCTGTCAGAAAATCTAGTGAAGAGGCCAATACAAGCTTGTGCTGGAAGCCAGGACTGGCGTCATGGAACGCCTTTAGTCATTGTACCCCTGTCAGGCATTCGGGCCTTATCAGTGATGAGCTCTTTTCATTCGTTTTCCTTTGCCGTCAGGCATCCAAAGGCGACCAACACTGATGACACAGCATTTATCCATCTCCTCCCTTGTTCCAATTTTACACAAGCGTCTCCTCGAACATGGCTTTTGTGCAGCGGCGCAACGAAGAGACTCCTTCTGCGGCCGGGCGCCGCTGCGGACGTTTGAAAACGCACGCTATTGGACGAAGCAGGGGTGGTACCACTGCCACCTGGCGGCGGTCCACTGGAAGTGGGAGTTTCAATCTACCCATAGCCCCACCATCGCGCTCTTCACATTCGAGCCGGGTGCGAGGATGGAATATGTAGATTGGATCGGCAGGAGGTAAGGTTCTGAGCACCTCGTGAGCTTTGGCAGGCCTCCTAAGAGCACGTACCAGGCGACTTGCTCGTAAGATAAGCATGGGTTGCTTTGGTCGTGTTGCATTTTTGGGCTGGTAAGGATGCATCTCTTGTCAGGCCTTTTCATTGGAAAACGTGCCCTTGATGGACATGTTTGTAGTCGGAGAAGGTTTGGGCAAACGGACAAACGGCTAACAATAAGCAGGTCCTTCTGCCTGGTTCTTGATGAGACATGTTTGGTTCACTAGAACAGGTTTAGCAAACCCAATTTGTGCATTGAGACCTCGCTCGCTCTAGGTCCTCAACCGTTTCAAGGGGTTTCTATTACGAGCTGATGCACTTTCAAAGGCATCGACCATGACGAACTGGGCCTCTCCTATGCTTTGTTCTGACCACGTCACCTCTTCCTGTGCAGCTTGACTGAGGGCCTACAGCCCGCCTGCCGTCTCTTCAATCTGGGTCTAATCCCCGACCCCACCAGCTTCACCGTGGTCGCGAAGTGGTGTGGGTCCCCGTGTGCGCGCGCGAAGCTCGTCGAGAGGTCTGCCTGCTCCCAAGAGCCGTTTGCTCGTGACAGGGAGCCCGCGGAGCTGGCCATCCCCCTCGAGATCCTGTTCGACGGAGAGAATAATGTCCCCCCGTCGTTGCAGTTCTTGACGGGGGGGAACG